CCCAGACGCCGCCGGCGCGAAGCGTGACGTCATCGACCCCCTCCACCCACCCCCAAATGATTGCCGTCATCGGCCCGGAATAAAACAGACTCCAGTCGCGTCCGCGCGCACGACGACGATGAGCGACGAGCGACGAGCCACGAGCGACGACGACGACGACGACGACAACGACGACGGCGACTGCGGACCAGACTCCTATGCGGATTCCTACGCAGACACCTACGCGGATGCCAATGCGTACGGCGGCAGTGCCTGGAGCGCACTAGGGGGGGAGCGTTACGTCATAAGGGGGGGGAGGAGCGGGAGCCATGACGCCCGTCATGCCCCAAGCAATAAAGAAACGGGCTCCATCATCATCATCATCATCATCATCATCATCATCATCATCATCATCATCATCATCATCATCATCATCATCATCATCATCATCATCATCATCATTCATCATCATCATCATCATCATCATCGTCATCACCATCATCATCCTCATCCTCATCATCATCATCATCATCATCATCATCATCATCATCATCATCATCATCATCATTATCTTCATATGTCATCATCATCATCCTCATCCTCATCATCATCATCATCATCATCATCATCATCATCATGATCATCATCATCATCATCATCATCATCATCATCATCATCATCATCATCATCATCATCATCATCATCATCATCATCATCATCATCATCATCATCATCATCATCATCATCATCATCATCATCATCATCATCATCATCATCATCATCATCATCGTCCTCATCCTCATCATCAGCATCATCATCAGCAGCAGCATCATCAGCATCATCATCATCATCCCCATCGTCATCATCATCATCGTCATCATCATCAACACCATCACCATCACCATCATCAGCATCAGCAGCATCATCAGCATCATCATTAGCATCATCATCATCAACATCATCAGCATCACCACCACCACCATCACCACCATCGCAATACCTATCACCATCACCAGCATCATCATCATCATCAGTATCATCATCAGCAGCATCAGCATCATCATCACCATCATCAACAGCATCATCAACAGCATCATCAGAATCATCATCAGCAGCATCATCGCCATCACCAGCATCAGCATCATCATCATCATCATCATCATCAGCAGCAGCAGCAGCAGCAGCATCATCATGCTCCTCTTCCGCCTCTCCCTCCTCTTCCTCCTCCTCCTCCTCCTCCTCCTCCTCCTCCTCATCCTTCACCTGACCTGCAATTGGTCCTACTGCGCCAGAGGACACTGGGAGCTCCTGGGCACGTCTGGAGATGTCGGGCCAAGAAGCCGACTCTGCAGCCAGAAAAGGTTGTACAGCCAGGGTTGTTTGTCAAGGTCGGTGGGCCACACGCGAATACCTACCTATACGACCACCCTTCGGGTGATGAGGATGTTCGGCGGGGGGGAAGGGGGACCAACGTCCCATTCAATCGTTCTCACATCGATCAAACTCTCGATCTCACAGCAGATCTCACAATCGATCCCTCTTTCGATCTCACAACAGATCTCACGATCGACCTCACAATCGATCTCCTATTCGATTCGACAATCGAACTCACAATCGATCTCACAAGCAATCTCACGATCGATCTCACAACAGATCTCATTATCGATCTCCCGATCGATCTCACTATCGATCTGACAATTGAACTCACTATCGATCTCACATTTGGACACACTATCGATCATATGTTCTCACGATCGGTTTCACTATCGACCTAACACCCGATCTCACCATCGATCGCACTATCGGTCTCACATTCGATATCTCAATCGATCTCACAGTCGATCTCACTGTCGCTCGCACTGTAGATCGCGCTATAGATCTCACGAGCGATCTCACGGTCGATCTCACAACAGATCTCACTATCGACCTCACAACAGACCTCACAGACGATCTCACTATCTCCCTATCAATCTCACCGCCGCGCCACCGGCGGGATACCCCGAGGCCACCGACGGGACACCGCCGCGCCACCGACGGGACACCGCCGTGCCGCCGACAGGACACCGACGAGACACTGACGGGACACCGACTCGCCACCGATGGGACACCCCCGGCCAATTCGGGCCGTGAGGGGGGCGGACAACCGGCTCCACAGCCCCTAGCCACGGCAGCATCATCCCTCTCGCGCGCCCACCCAGCTTCGCCTCGCCCGCACGCACGACACGAACACGAAACCGAAACCGATCTCTGGGTGGAGGGGCTCTCCGTTCCACTGCGATCTCACCCCGTCCCCTGTCACCTCCGATCTCCGTTGAGGCCCGCCATAGACTGCCACGTGGACTCCTTTTCCCCAGCAGCTTAGATTCCTGGAGCAAGGGATCCCTATACTGCAGACCGACCAAAAGCCATAGACACTCCCAGGCTCCCCCAGTGGACAGCAATGGGGAGGAAGCTGCCTTGCCATGGCCTTCCCCGAAGCCCTGCCCCTCGCCAACCGCTCCCAAGTATCTGGTTAACTGGCCGAGTACTGCTGCCGCGCAGCAGTCCCCATCCCGCGGGACCGTTGACCCATTTGAGAACCGCGCGTGCGCCACTGACCTTCTGCAAAGAGGCGAGTCCGCCAGACCGCGCAGCCTGGCTCTGTCGCCGGTGCAAGGCCGCCAGGTTGGGAGGGACCCGGGGCCAACGAGACGAGACAAACCACCATCGACCCAATGCCCAATTCCTCACCCACCCACTCGTCGCACTGTTCTGCGCTGGGCGCCAGGGAGGCCCTGGGAGCCGAGAAACGCATCCGCCGCCTCGCGAAACGCCGTATGCGAGTTGTTAAGCTTCTCCCGCTCTGCGCGGAACGCCGCGCGCGCGTCACGCCCGAGTCCGACACGGCGCTCTCCCCCGACGCCGTGGAACGGGAGGCGCAGCCGCAGAGATGCGGCGCAGCCTCTCGACATTTCCCGGGCGTACTGCCACGTGGCGTCCAGAGCGACGATCGTGTCGAATCTCAAGCGCGGCATGGGCGAGGAGGTCTCCGGGCTGGCACCGGGCTCCCAGAGGTTCCGCAGGTCTTGGATGGCGTCGTCCGCGGGCCACAGCAGCACAGCCCTGGAGAGGTCCAGCTCCACTCTCTCCTCCTGGGAGGAGGGGGGAGGGAAGGGAGGGGGGGGGGAGAATGGGAGGGGGAGAGGAGGAGCGAGGAGACAGGGGGAGGGGACAAGCTGGGCGCGGTCTCGCCACGTCTGACATCCTATCGTTCCCACCCATCCATCCCCGTCGCTTTGAATCCCCTTATCATCCGCCGACTGTGGTCCCCAGGGAGAGCTTGACCCCCAAATGACGGTTGCAGGACTTGGCCGATCGCTTGCTGCACAGTCGGGAAAGGGCACAGGCTGCAGATTGCAGCGGAGGGGAACGGAGGCAGCTGGCTCGGCCTTCAAGGTCCACACGGGGGAGCCGCTCAGATGATGATGGTGGCGAGACTGTGCTCTGGATCAGTGCTGGTGACATAGACAGATGTTCATGATGCTGCGGCAAAGCAGATGCATCAAGAGCAACAGCGGGCCATAGAAAATCCCCCTTTTCTCGAAGAACGTGGCAAATCTCAGGCTCCAATCTCCACGCCCAGACACGGTGAGGATGCCCCTGCCAAGTGCGACGGAGACGCGCAAAATCATGGATTGATCGCGTCCTTGTCCAGACCGATGATGCGGAAGCAGGCGGAGCTGTAGCAGCAGCACGAGCAGGAGCTGGCGTGGTAGAAGCAGGGAGAGCAGGGAGAGACCTGAAGACGTCTTCTTAAGGGAACGGGACAATGTTTACCATTTGGGGATCCTTATGGAAGCCTCTTGGAGCGTCTTGAGGGCCTCTCTGGCCGTCTTGAGGCCGTCTTGGGCTCGCTTGGAACGCTCTTGGACCGTCTTGGGGTCCGCTTGGGACTCCCTGAAGCCGTCCTGGAGGTATGTTAGGCCGCCTTGGAGGCCTCTTGGGCCGTCTTGGGGGCCTCTTGTGCTTTCTTGGGGCCGACTTGAGCCATCTTGGGCCGAAAGTGGCCGAAATCCCACCAGCCCTCTAGGCGTAGGTGGTCAAGAGAGGCTCCCCAACCCGGAACCATGCCAACCCCATGAGGGCCACCCCCCAACCATCCATCTCAAAAAACAATATAAAAAAACGCACTCTGCCTCCACATTTGGAGCATGCGCAGCCGCCCCGCGAACATTTTGCATTTGTACTTTGCAGGGACGGCTGGGGTGCCAGCAGATCCCACCTGCCTTCTGGGCGCAGGTGGTCAACCGACTGATTTGACACAACAGAGGCTGCTGCCTTGTCGCCTTGCCGTTTCCGAAAGGGATTTCGAAACCTCCACATGGCTCCAAAATCAGCCAAGAAAGCTCAAAGCCGGTCCCAAGAGCCCCCACTGGTTCCCAGTGGCTGGCGCACCTGGCGCGGCCGAAGCACGTGTAACACTGGGCGCACGTGGAGCACGTGCCGCACCTGGCGCACCTGGCACGCTTGGGCCTCCAGGGTCTGGTGCATCCGAACCCGTGGCGTCTGCGGCGTTTTTCCGCGATATGCCGACTCCCGAGTGTTACGTACGTGTTGGGAGGGCGGGTGGGAGTGAGCAAGACGGCTTGCGGGCGGGTGCGAAGGTTGACCCCTCCCCCTACCCCCATCCCCTGGACCTGGACGGAGCGCCCCGCGAGCGGTCAGAGCATCCAAGATCGCTCAAGATGGCTCGAAGAGGGCCTCAGAGAGCCCAAGATGACCTCCAAGATGGCTCAAAATAGCCCAAGATGGCTCAATCTGGCTCCCACGATGCTCCAAGAGGCCCCAAGACCGCTCCAAGACGGCTCCGAGTGGCCACGGAGGCTCCCCAGGAGACCGCCGGGAGGCCAAAATCCTGAAAAGACCTACAGAAAATTCATGAGTTGTGCCTTCTCGCCTGTTCGCTTCCGATGGCCTTTCGAAGCCTCAAGACAGCACTAACCCAAGAGAGGCCCAAGAGAGCCCCAAGACGGCCCCAAGGCGCCCAAGAGCGCTCCAAGAGCGCCCCAAGAGGGGCCCAAGAGGCGCTTTTGGGGGGCTCCCGAGGGTGGAACGTAATTGCCGCTCCCATCTTTTATCGATATCCTCCAAGATGGCCCTAAGATCGCTCCCAAGGCTCCCAAGAACGCCTCAAGAGGGCCTCAAGAGGCGTCCAGGAGACCCCAAGAGGCGCCCAAGAGGCCTCCAAGAGGCTCCCAAGAGACCCCCAAGAGGCCTATTGAATGAAATGCGGTAGGCGTCCTTTGGCCTTGCCGCATGCTCCCCGGGCTTTGCCCGGGGCACGCTGGGTCAACCTGCTCAGAGGCCGCCGTGGCAGTGCAGCGCTGCCGGCCGGCGCCCTGCCTAAGCCTCAGCCCGAAGACCACCCACCCACCCTGGAGGAAGAGGGAGCGCCAACCAGGCCGCCGCCGCCGCCGCCGCCCGAGCGGGGGGGAGGGAAGGGGAGGGAAGGGGCCACCCTCCGCCGATGCCACCACGTTGGCCGCGGACGCCGGCACCGCGCCGTCAGCCTGGGGGTCAACGACGCTCTATCTGAGTGGGGGGGCCAGGGCCCCCCATGCACCCAAGAGGCCCCAAGAGGCTCCCCGAGGCACCCAAGACGCTCCAAGAGGGCCCCCGGACCGCCAAGAGGCCCCCAAGACGCTCCAAGAGGCCGCCAAAAAGCTTCCAAGAGGCATCCGAGGAGACTATGAGAAGCAACTCGCCTGCGCATCGTTTCTGGATGGGCTGGTGGGGATACTGCTTTTCAGCGGCCGCGGGCCTACGCGCCAGCGGCGAGTCAGGTCCAAGCGGGCTACGCAGAGACTAATCAATGGTGGGGATACGCGAAGCGTCACGGATTCGTACACGGAACGAAGAACTCTGGAGGCAAGAGCGGGAGAGGTGGAGGGGCGTCAGGAGATATAGAGAAAAGGGAGAGGGAGGGGGAAGACAGAGGGGAGGTTTCTGCTCACGAGGGACAGGCAACATGGGAACTAGCCCAGAGACACCGAGCACATCGACGTGGAAAGAAACGACCCAAGGACTGTACATCTGCAATGAATGCTCGGCAGCCCGTCCTCGGCACTGCCCTGGCACGTCTCGTCCGGCGCCGCGGCCCCCGTGCAAGACGGCAGCTCGCCAGGGGGCTCGCCTTCCAGGCTTCTTCGGACCACGCCCTTCTGCCTGAGAACCCGCGGACCCGCCTCGGGGGTCAGACGGCGCATGCGGCCGCGCCGCTGTGGCTGGGACGACGGAACACGGTCGGCCCACGAACCTGGAGAAGGCTTCAGAACTGCGAGACACGGGAACGATTCCGAGCATCTCAACGAGCGCGATGCGCAGCGCCAGGGGACGCGCCGCGCGACGTGCCAGGGGGACTCGCCACGGGACGCGCCACGGAACGTGCAGGGGAACGTGCCAGGCGACGCGCCAGGGGACGCGCCAGGGAACGCGTCAGGGAACGTGCCGCGGGACGTCCCTGACTTAGGGCCAGGATCCCTCGAAAATGACGCTGCGTCCGCGCTCCCAGGACCGCGATCCATCGTAAATTACACTGTGTCCGCGCTCCTAGGGCCCAAATCCCTCGTGAATTACGCTGCGTCCGCGCTCCCTGGGCCACGATCCCTCGTAAACTACGCCGCGTCCGCGCTCCCAGGGCCGCGCTCCCACGCGAACTACACCGTGTCCGCGATCCCAGGGCCACGTTCCCCAATAAATTACACTTTGTCCGCCCCCCTAGGGCAGGGAACCCTCGAAAATTACACTGCGTCCGCGCTCCCAGGGCCACAATCCATCGTAAATTACACTGTGTCCGCGCTCCCAGGGCCCAGATCCCTCGTGAATTACGCTGCGTCCGCGCTCCCTGGGCCACGATCCCTCGTAAACTACGCCGCGTCTGCGCTCCCAGGGCAGCGCTCCCACGCGAACTACGCCGTGTCCGCGCTCCTAGGGCCACGTTCCCCAGTAAATTACACTGTGTTCGGGCTCCCTGAACCACCTGGGAATCCTGGGACACCCAGGCCGCTCAAGTTCTGCAAAACAAGCGTTTCGCTCGAGACATCCTCCGCGCACAGGGCGCGCCATCCTCGAGCGGGCACGCAAAGAGTCGATTCAAAATTTTCTGATACCTGAAGGCCTCCAGACCTCGTGTTTTATCTCGGATTCTGCGCAAAGCGCTCCGCACTCCTTTTTTGCAAAGCACAACGTGTGCCTGCGGACCCCGTTATGTATCGAGGACCCGAGATCGGGGGCACATTTTCCTCGAGCGGGCACGCGCGAAACGCATGCTTTCCACGACGAATTGGACTTCACCTCGTCTCTTATGGCAAAGGATTCCGCCAGCCCTCTTCAAGTCGAAACCGGGCGTAAACAATACTGGGCCCACGCCATTTCCGGGAAAAAGAAAAGTCGGCGGTGGACAAACCTCCCTTTCGCAAACCTCCCCTTAGTGAAAACTACCTGGGACCGAAACCGACGGACCTGGACCCGCAAGAATGACGGCCGCGACGCCCTCTCGCGAACCGAAAACGGCCAGTTCCTCAATCGACGTGTCAGGGCAGGAGGCCTATCCACCTCCGAGAGGAGGAGGAGGAGGAGGAGGAGGAGGAGGAGGAGGAGGAGGAGGAGGAGGAGGAGGAGGAGGAGGAGGAGGAGGACGAGGGAGGGGGAGGAGGAGGAGGAGGAGGAGGAGGAGGAGGAGGAGGAGGAGGAGGAGGAGGCCTATCCACCTCCGAAAAATACACGGCGGAGGCAGCGCCAGCCACCGAGCTGGAGCGCGAGCTTCTGTCAACGGGGAGCCTCAGCAGACCTGCCCCGCCGACCTCCCCCGGCTCCGCGGCCGGGGCCCCGAGCCTCCTGGGCGGGGCCCGGGGAGGGGGCGGCGACCACCGCGCAGGCCGCGCACCGCGCAGAGAGCACCGACGACGACGACGACGACGACGACGACGACGACGACGACGACGACGACGACGACGGCGGCGGCGACGACGACGGCGGCGGCGGCGGCGGCAAAGGCGGCGGCGGCGGCGGCGGCGACGGCGATGGCGGCGACGAGACGCGGCAGCGGCCACGGCGACGTCGATAAACGACCGACCGTCTGACCGACGGCGGCGACGGCGACGACGGCGGCGGCGAGTGCGGCAGTGCGGAGGGCGCGGCTGGCGGCGCTAGGAATCCAGGATACCCTCGCTCGACCTCTCGGTCGGACTGCCCCACAGGAGCCCGGGGCAGCCCCAAGACGGTCCAAATTGGCTCCACGAGAGCTCCTCAAGAAGTGAAGACGACTGGTGTTAGGTCGGGCATGTCCTCCTGCAGGCGGACTTTGGACGAAAAATGAAAAATAGTCAAAACATATTCAAAAATGATCAAGAATGGTCCAGGAATCGTCCCCAGACTGTGTTTTGACTATTCTTGAATACTCCTCCTGGCGAGGGACATTTTGGAGTCCCGAAACGGTGCGGCGACAGACCGTGCGGTGACCTCGAAATCCCCCAAGACCTCACCGCACGGTCCGTCACCGCACGGTTTTCGGACCTCGGATGCCCCAGTCGCCCGAGATGTCCTCGGAGTACGACTCGAGTCCCAGAACCGTGCAGTGACCCCGAATCCCCACCGACTCACCGCACGGTATGTAGGGAACCGAACTCTATACACCGACGCTTTTTCCGGTCATCTACTGACACTTGCACAGGAAAGCGGATCCTGGTGAATATGGGACCCTGGTGTGTACATTTGTCGCTGTTCCCCGGGGAAGCGGAAAGAAAAAGTGTACACCACCCCGACGTCGCCCCCGAACCTCAAAAAAAACACCTGGGACTGAAAAACAGCCCGCCACTGGTAATGTATATGCTCCAGTTTCCGAGTATGTAAGGGGCCACATGCGAACCGAGGGAGCCCCTACGCCCCCACGATTTCTGAGGGGGAGGGTGGGGTTCACTTCGCTCGGGAGCTCCCAGGCGGTGCCCGACGGGTCGCCACGCAGAGGTGGCCTCGCTGGCCTGGCGGCGGCTTCGCCGCAGGAGCAGGGCGTGGGACACCTCCCGCCCTCAGGGGTGGGCGGAAAATCCACCCTCCTCCTCCTCCCCCTCCTCCTCCTCCTCCTCCTCCTCCTCCTCCTCCTCCTCCTCCTCCTCCTCCTCCTCCTCCTCCTCCCTCCTCCTCCTCCCTCCTCCTCCTCTCCTCTCCTCCTCCTCCTCCTCCTCCTCCTCCTCCTCCTCCTCTCCTCCTCCTCCTCCTCCTCCGCCTCCCTCCCTCCGCCTCCTCCTCCCTCCTCCCTCCTCCTCCTCCTCCTCCTCCTCTCCTCCTCCTCCTCCTCCTCCTCCTCCCTCCTCCTCCTCCCTCCTCCTCCTCCTCCTCCTCCTCCTCCTCCTCCTCCTCCTCCTCCTCCTCCTCCTCCTCCTCTTCCTCCTCCCCCGACACGCGAGGTCATTCAGTAAACGCACCCAAAGAAGGAAGCAAGCAGGGCAGGACTGTCTAGTATACACGCCCAGGACCGTTTCGTAAACGCCAGTTGTCGGTCGGGTCCAGGTGGTTTTTCCTTACTTGACTCAGGGGTGGGCACAGATCCATGTCCACCACTTCTCGGAAGGTCTTCGCGACCCCGGGGCACGACTCCGAGACAGTGGGTTCTGGCATACCCGCATCCACGGCCTCGCCGTCCGGACTCCTCGGTCGCAGCCCCGTGGATACAGGGGGACCTTGCGCGGAGGCCCCGCGCGGAGGATGTCCCTGAGAGCACGTATCCATGGGATCGCGCCTCGGAGTCCAGACCACAAGGGCATGCACATGGACATGCTGGTCGCTCGTGAGGGTACGCGATGGACCAGTCCACCGTGAGCACGAGCCAGAGCTCTCCCCTGCCGTCCCGAGCCATCTCTCTCCCTCTCGGCGCCCGCACGGCGCGACTCCTGCCCACCACGACGCTGACGTCGGAGAGCGTCCTCAGCAGGAACAGGTCGCTCTGGTGCTTCTGACGTCTCTCCTGCGGGTGCTGCAGGAGCACCTTCGGGACCGGCGAGGTGGACTCCCCCCTTGATCATCGTCTCGCTCCTCCTCTCCTCGGCACGCGCGGGAGGAGGGGGCAGCCAGGGAGGGTCAGCGAGTCCGCCGCAGGCGGCTGCTCCTGCGAGGCGGAGATTGACTCGTGTCCACCGCCTGGGAGCCGACGTCCTGGTGCCCCCGCAGGCGGTGGATATGGATATGTTTTGGCTCCTGGGGGCCCGGATATGTGTATATACATACATGTATATGTATGTCTATCTATATATATATATGTGTACATATATATGTATATATATGTATAGACAAGTGGCACGTGTGTGCCCAGGTTCATACAAAAAACTGAAAGGGCGTTTGAAGCAGGAAGACACCATGACTGCAGGATCGGAGATGGCGAAGGGGAAGCTGGGGCGGCGCCGCCAGGGCGTGCCTAAGAGAAGGGGAAGAGGCAGAAGGTGAACGCAGAAGAATCTAAGATCGAGGTCGCACTCGAGCGCAAGTGGGGTTGCCACACCTTGCGATGTGTGTACAAGGGCCCCCAAGGAAACCTGAGGAGGCCCGGCTTGGATACCGGAAGAGGCTCCAGGAGGCCCCGGGATTGTGAGTGTTGTGTGTGATGTGTGCTCTGTGTTGTGCGTGTTTTCTGTGCGTTGTAGGTGTTGTGTGTGTTATGTTTGCCTAGCGTGTGATGTGTTGGGTGTGGTTTGTGTCTCTGTGTGTGCATGTAGTTCTGAGGCCCCAGGAGGCCCCAGGAGGCCCCAGGCGGCCTCAGGAGACCCCAGAAGACCCCAGGAGGCTCCAGGAGGCCCCAAGAGGCTCCAGGAGGCCGCAGGAGGCCCCAGGAGGTTCCAGGAGACCCCCAGGAGGCTCCCGGGGTCTGGGGTACCAGAAGGTACAGAAAGCTCCAGGGGCCCCAGGAGATTCCAGGAGGCCCCAGGAGGCTCCGAGGCGGGGTCTGGGATCCAGAAGGTACGTCGGGGCTCGATTTTGGGAGGATGTCTCAGGCGAAATCGCCATTCCCTGAGAATCGGGGTCAAAATCATTGAAAGTACTATGTGTTTTTGAAGGTGTTATGTTAGAATGTTGAAATTCCCATGTGTTTTTGGACCCTGACGTCAAGATCTGCGTGAGGGGTGCCACCGATTTTCAGAATTTCGAGGATGTCCCAAGCAAAACGGCCAGAAAAATCGCAAACGCGGCGCCCCGCGTACGCATTAATCGCCTCTGAGCTCTACTCCCTCGGAGAGGTGCGTATGAGAATACACATGTACCAATATCCATATACATGTCCATATCCATATCCAGATCCAGATCGACCGCCTGTGGAGGTCCGCGCAGATCAATCCCCCAGGCGGCGGTGATGGGTAAATCCCCACCTCGAAGCTATTGCCCGGCATCTCCCGGCCCCACAGACGGTTATGCGTCGAGGAGAGAGCGGACGCGGCGCCGGCGCCCAAACCAGCTGCATGCAGCGGTGTCGCCAGGGAAACGTGCCAGGCGACGCGCGACGCGACGTGCCAGGGCCAGGATCCCTCGTACACTACGCTGCGTCCGCTCTCCCTGGGCCACGATCCCTCGTAAACTGCGCTGCGTCCGCGCTCCCCGGGCCGCGCTCCCTCGTGAATTAGGACGTGTCCGCGCGCTCCCAGAGCCACGTGCCCCAGTAAATTACGCTGCGGTCGGGCTCCCAGAACCACCTGGGCATCCAGGGGCGCCCAGGCCGCTCAAGCTCTGCAAAACAAGCGTTTCGCTCGAGACATCCTCAGATATTCGGCGCGCAGGGCGCGCCATTCTCGAGCGGGCACGCAAGAAGTATATTTTCAATGTTCTGATACGGCCTCCTGACCTCGTGTTTTATCTTGGCTTCTGCGCAAAATGCGTGGGACGCGCCATCCTCGAGCGGGCACGCAAAAAGTTTACTTTTCCATATTATTTGTAAAATTCTTAGATCTCCATACTGGTTGTTTGACATGGATTCTGCGCAAAAAGCTCCGCACCCCGGTTTTCACCAAGGGAAACGTGTGTCTGCGGACCCAGTTATTCATCCAGGATCCGCGATAGGGGACACCATTGCTTCCACGCCAAATTGGATGTCACCTCGTTTTCTATCAGCGGAAATTCACAGGCCCGCTTCATGTCATGGCCAGGGGGAAACATCCAAAAAAAGAACCCTGGGTCCGAGCGCTTTCCGGAAACATGATCGACACACGAACCCAAAAAGGAATATAGAAACGTAAGGCATGGCAACGTTTTCAAGACACCTGATTGGGCGACGCGCAAATGCAACGCTGAGCGTATCGATCTTGACGTATCGATGCCCCGTGCCGCGATTGTGCTTTATAGCGTTGTGGATCGCGTCCCCCTTTGCATCCGAGTCCTTAACCGAACTGATCTGGATCTAAAGCTCGAGCTGCCTGAGCACATAGTAGCTGCCCCAGACCTAATTGACAGGGGGACACGGCAGGGGGACGCGCCGCGGAACGTCCCAAGGGACGCGCCAGAGGTCGTGCCAGGGGACGTGCCATGGGGACGCGCCACGGGACGTGCCAGAGGGACGCGCAACGGAACGTGTCAATGGATGTGCCACAGGATGCGCCAGGGGACGCGCCGCGCGACGTGCCAAGGGGACTCGCCATGGGACGCACCACGGAACGTGCCAAGGCACGTGCCATGCAACGCGCCAGGGAACGTGCCAGGGAACTCGTCAGGGAACATGCCGCGGGACGTCCCTGACCCAGTGCCAGGGCCGCGCCCCCGAGTGAACTACGCTGTGTCCGCGCTCCCAGGGCCACATTCCCCACTAAATTACTTTGTATCAGCCCCCGAAGGGCCACGATCCAGCGTAAGTTACACTGCGTCCGCTCTTCCAGGGCAACGATCCATTGTAAATTACGCTGCGTCCGCGCTTCCAGGGCCACGATCCCTCGTAAATTACACTGCGTCCGCATTCCCTGGGCCACGATGCGTAGTAAACTACGCTGCGTCCGCGCTCCCAGGGCCGCGCTTCCTGGTGAATTACGCTGTGTCAGCGCTCCCAGGGCCACGTTCCCAAACAAATTACACTTTAGCCACCCCCCCGGGGCCAGGATCCGTCGTAGATTACGCAGCGTGCGCGCTCCCTGGGCCACGATCAATCGTAAATCACGCTGCGTCCGCGCTCACAGGGCCACGATCCCTCCTAAATTACGCCGCGTCCGCTCTCTCTGGGCCACGATCCCTCGTAAACTACGCTGCGTCCGCGCTCCCCGGGCCACGATCCCTGGTAAACTAAGCTGCGTCCACGCTCACAGGGCCACGATCCTTTGTAAATTACGCTGCGTCAGCACTCCGAGGGCCCCCTGGGGCATCATTGGGCGTCCATGTTCCTGGAAGTCTCCGAAACAAGCGGCTCCCTCGAGACACCCTCAACAAATTCTGCAAAACGAGCGTTTCGCTCGAGACATGCGCAACAAACGAAAATGCTGATTCACCTTGCTTCATCGATCTGAATTTCAAAAACCAGCGTTTCGCTCGAGACATCCTCAAATGTTAATTTGCCGGCCCTCTTCGACCTCGTCTTTTATCACAGAACGATTTCGCCGGCCCTCTTCGAGTCGATTCCGGAGGGGGATAAAATTACTGAAAGAGAACCCTGGGCCGACGCCCTTGCCGGGAAAAACAGGCGGCCAAAGGTTACCCAGCTCGCGCCCAGGCTGGCCGCGTCATGTGTGTGTGTCCAGCTTACAGTACTGGGGAAACCCGTGGCGGAGTACCCCCCTCGCCCGCCGCCGCCCCGTCTTCCTCCTCCTCCTGCTCCTCCTCCACCTCCTCCTCCTCCTCCTCCTCCTCCTCCTCCTCGCCCTCCTCCCCCCCCGACACTCGAGGTCATTCAGCAAACGCACCCCACGAAGGACGCAAGCAGGGCAGGGCCGTCCAGTACAAACGCCCAGGGCCGTTTCGTCCTCCTGCCAGGAGCCAGGAGTCAGGAGCCAGGAGCCAGGAGGAGGAGGAGGAAGGAGGAAGGAGGAGGAAGGAGGAGGAGGAGGAGGGAGGGAGGGAGGAAGGGAGGCAGGGTGGGAGAGAGAGAGAGAGAGAAGGATCCCCCGTAGTGAAGAGCGTGGTGGGGCCCCCCCGCCCCCCCAGCGGGACTCAGGCTCGACACGCCGGCGCGCCACACCAGGGGGGGGCGCACCGCCTTCGGCGCACGCCGGGCGTCCGCGACGGGGGTCGGCGTGGGGCTTCCGACGGGGGGGAGCGCCCCCCAGCGCACACACACACACACACACACAAACAGATCTATCTACATATATATATATATATATATATATAGAAGCTAGCAATATAAACTACACATAGCATGTATATATATATATACATATAAAAATACACACACGCGCAGAGCCTCGCTCCTCCCGGAAGGCACGGAGTGCCCAAGATATGGGAGCGACTTCTGGCCGAAGCCCCGATGGAGCAGCACCGAATCGAGGGCGCACAATGCAGGTGATCGATCGAGTCGGCTCCTGGCGGCTGGCCCTGCCGCCGACTACCTGCGCAGTTCTCTTCCCGCCAGTCCCCCTCCCCCTGCGCCCTCCTCCTCCTCCCCTTCGCTCCCTTCGAGCCCACACCTCCCCCCCCCCCCCACCTGCGCCCCCTCCCCCTCCCCCCTGCGCCCCCTCCCCCTCCCCCTGCGCTCTCTCCCCCTCCCCACCCGGTCCCCTCGCCCGTCCCCTCCCCCCTGCGCCCCCTCGCTCTCTGCCCCTGTCCGACCTCGACTCCACAACGACCTCCAATACCCCATTCGCGCCCCCTCCCCCACCCCCCCAACACGATGGACCCACGAACGCGGACAGGGATATGTGATGTTAAAGACATCGGTGATCATGATGCCGTGCCACAGGTTCAGCTACACCGTGGTGAACCGTGCCGCGCAACGTTGCACTGCGATGCCACGCTGCGCCGACGCCGAACTGGGCGACAGGCCCTTGCAATGCTGTAGGTATCGATGGCGATGTACAGTGCTGGGGG